AAGATGAGGAGCTGCTGGAGAGAGTCCAGCGGAGGGCTACGAGGATGCTGAGGGGATGGGAGCATCTCTCCTACGAGGAGAGGCTGAGGGAGCTGGGCTTGTTCAGCCTGAAGAAGAGAAGGCTGAGAGGGGACCTTAGAAATGCCTATAAATATCTGAAGGGTGGGTGTCAGGAGGATGGGGCCAGACTCTTTCCAGTGGTGCCCAGCGACAGGACAAGGGGCAATGGGCACAAACTGAGGCAGAGGAAGTTCCGTCTGAACATGAGGAATAACTTCTTCCCTCTGAGGGTGACGGAGCCCTGGTCCAGGCTGCCCAGGGAGTTTGTGGAGTCTCCTTCTCTGGAGATATTCAAGACCCTCCTGGACAAGGTCCTGTGCAGCCTGCTGTAGGTGACCCTGCTTCAGCAGGGGGTTGGACTAGATGACCCACAGAGGTCCCTTCCAACCCCAAACATTCTGTGATTCTGTTTTTTTCCAGCTTGAAGTAAAAATCTGGGTACCTTCAGAAGACGATCTGTTGAGTGCAGTATGTAGTTCTCTTTGGAAAATTTCTAGCAATCAAACATGACACAATGTTGCATCGGTCCCTGGTTTTGTATGCACACACAGCACTAATAATAGCGAGAATGGCTTTAGTAACAGTAAGACTACTTTAGAGAGAAATAATTAGAAATTAATAGTTATCCCTTTAAGAAAGGGCATTGGGGTTTGGGCTAACGTGCGTTAGATTAATAGACTGTGTAAGGGAAGCAAGTGAAATGCCAGCCTATTTTGGGTTCAGAAAGTCAAACCTGTGTAGCTGATAAATGCAGGCACGCTTCTAAAGACTATTTCATGTCATGAAGTGCCGCAAGACAAAAACGTGAATGGATATTTAAATTGCTACTGTTTTCTCCCCTTCACTTCATAAAATTCATCACAAAAGAAATATAAACACAAGACCTGCAAATTTTTGTTTGTAATATAAGCAAATGAGAGTAAGATAAACAAGAACAACAGAGTTGTGTAATGCCTATGCAACTCTTGGTAAGTTTGCTAGGAAGTTTATAGTGCAAACACTAAATGTTATGCGACCAAACATTTGGATCCGTTTCACTGAAGTAGGTTTCAAAAGGTACTGTTCTTTCAAGTCTGCAAGGTGTGTATAGAAGGTTCAGTGAGTCTAATTTTGTTACTGGTGAGTTTGCTACCAGAAAAGTACTGGGTTTTATGCATAGCATAATTTCTGTAGAACTCTATTAAATATTTAGAATCTTATTGCTCTTAATGTGCTGAATTATCTGGGATTTTTCTTATGAGAATGGAAGCTCTTGACTCATATCAAAGAGTTTCCATTATGACTGCACAAAATCTTTATTATGAGGGTGTGTTGCCCATCAAACTTTGACTTTAAAGCCTGACTTTCTGTATTAATTACTAATCACTTAATAGAAAGTGAACACAAATTATTGCACCTACGTATTCATCCAAACAGAGAGACATGGATCGTTATATCTCCTCATACAGCTTCCACTGAGGTCCATGTCAACTGCTCTGTTGGCATAATAGTGAAGTTGTCCTTTTTGCTGTAATTAGTGTGCTGCACCTCCCTTTCCTATTTTCACATTTGCTTAGCCTTTGAAAAACTGATGTATGGATAAGGATGTAGTGTATGAAATAAAAATAATCTGTTTGTCCAGAGAATAGTGCTGCTGGTCTGAGATGATCTGCCACGTCTTTTTGCTACTGTTGTGCTTCAGTTATTTGATCTTATTAACAACCTCAGTAATTGAACTGCATGCCATAAATAAGCTTTTACAGACAAGCATGAGGATTACTTCCTGAAATAGTGTGGATATTGGCTAAGTCTTGTAACAAGAGCAGAGACCAGACCGTGCAGGTGAAAGACACGATGGGCTTTGAACAAGCCTGTAAGAGTTGGATTCTTCAAGTTTTGATCTTAATAATGCTGAAGAGTTCATGTCTTCTAATTCTGGCATTTCTGCACATGTATGAGGCCCCATTTGTGATGGATGTTGCTTGTAGCATAAACAGATGTGTTGAAGCTTGGGAGTTTGAAGTATGACTATCCAAAGTCTTTTATCACAGATACCACTTTTGATTTCTGAACTACATAGGAATGTGTAATATTATATGTGCAGGCATGTTTTCTAAATTCTCCAAACTGGGATTATGTAAATCTGTCATCAAGGCTCTACATCACCTCTGCTTCTCTGAAGTTACTTAAATAAATACAAGATTCTTCCCATGGTAATGAATAGTATATATAACTAGAAAATCATGTTTTTGTAATATTTCAAGTGGTTTCAGATTGGTCCCCAAGAAGAAGAAGTACAGAAAGAAATACCTTGTATTTTGGCTCAGTGCATTTTTAGATATAAAGAAGTACATACAAAAGTTTTTTTCCTCCATGTACAATCCCTTTCTTTGTTTCCTGTAAAGAAGTGCACCAGGGGGAAGGAGGAATTGGTCTGAAAATGCAGCAGTTGCTTTCTGGATTTTTTTTTTTTTTTTTTTTTTAAAATAGTAAACCATTCACTGGAGGAGGGAGCAAATGATGCTAGAATTATCAGCAAGTCAATACCCCAGATACTGTAGTCAGCATAAATCATAAAACGGATATGTGAGATACAACTTTCACCCTCTAAGCAACTAATCCTGTCTCATATCTAATAACACCATAATTCAGTATAATCAAAATCCGTCAGAGATATTTGCTTTAGTTAAATATCTGGCTATAAATACCACAAGGCAAAATATGTCACTCTGAAAAAGAGTGGACTTGTCCTTGATAAGTGATCTCATATTGTAATTTCCCTTGAGAAAATCATTCTACAGTTCAGGTACAAACTAAATCAATAAACCCTTTAAATTGCTGTTGGGTTATATAGGTTATACACATTTTCTAACCTGCTTGGAATGTGTAGAGGTAAATAGAAGTGTCTCCTTTACAGCCTCCTGAAAGACTGACTACTGTTCACTTTGATTGTGGGAATTTGTAACTAATCTCTGCCGAAGCTTGGATAGTTTCTCACAGTCAGACCGGTCTTCAGCGATACTTCCAAGTGTAGTAGGAAAGGTTTCTCAAACCAAGTACTTATACTGGGGTATAGGATCTTCCCCAAGACCCTGTCTGTGTGATTTGAGGTTCGGCAACAGCAAAAAACCTCACTTGTTTCAAGTTCTCAGTATTTCCAGGAAAGCAATTAATATTTTTGGCTTCCGCAAGACCAACCTGTTATCAGAGAGGAGTTGACTACAGGTTCAAACTAGCTGATGTAAATGATTTAAGTTACTTGACCGATGAGAGAGATTTAGTGCAGTTTCACCTTCAGCTTTTTCATAACGTGGATAAATCCTTGCACCCTGACTGCACAGCAGCACAGTTTTCAGAGAGGTGAGAATACATGCAGACTAGCTGTCTTAGATACTTCAATTATCTTTATTTTTCTTGGCTAAGGAATGAGGATTATTTTTAAATTGTGCATAGAGTTCAAATTTTAATTTAATTCCTGAACAGTTTTTGAATTGAATTCTTTACTTTTTGTTATATGAATTTTATATGGGAAAACAAATAATCATCTGAATGAAATGGTGAAGCCTGATACTTTGGACATTTAGGAAAATTTAAATTCTGCAGTAATATTTGTAGACTAGAAGTTGGACAGCATAGATGTATCAGTATGCTGATAACCTAGGAAATCTCTCCAGCTGGGAGATGTATGAATTTACATGATCACAGCATTGCTGCAGAGGTGCTACAGCCCACTCTTTCCAATTTTGCTATGGTTGTTTTTGAGATCGCTTGAGTATGGATCACAAAAGACAATATAAAACTTGCAAAAAGGTGTAAAAGTCACTCTAAGAAAAATTACAAACGTAGACAATTTCATGAAGTTAATGTCTGGCTCCGTTCTCGCCTACTAAAAATGGTCTGAATATAGAATGAAAGAAGCTCCTTATTTTTGGGAGAGAAATGGTGCTCAGCATATGGAACCTGTCTCCTTGGTTGTATATGTGTTGGACTTCAGGCATGTTCATGTGCCACTCTTGGAAAGCAACTTTCGATCTCACAAAGTGTGTTGATGAAGAGGTTAGCTATGTAGCATTATCTTCCATTGGTCCTGAGAAAATGTGCAATGGAAATGCCGTGCAAAGCAGATATGGAATGAGAGGAAAAAACAAACGCGTGGTCACAGCTGTTCTCTGTCAATTAAATGTTCTCTGAGCAGGTTTAGTTCGCAAAGTTCTGGATGCAGCTGTGAAGTGCTTATGTCACCAGGAACCTGATAAAAATAAAAACTTTGGAGGGAAGTTAAGAAGTACATTTTGTTCCATCTACAAGACATACCATGTGCTGGCTGCCGGTGGAGGCATATGCTGGGGGAAGAGTTAGTGTCTGAGAAAGGGAAAGTCTGTAGGAAGCGAGACGGGTATTTGTTTTCAGCATTTTCTTTTTATATCTGCTTATTAACATAGCTGCATTTCAGCAATCCAGAAGGACTTTCTCAATAGCAAACACAAATCTGCATGAAACTCGATAAGAATGTTGTTCTTTACCACTTGATTTGCATTCTGTACATCATAAATTTAGCTGTTTCTTCCCTCTCCTTCTAATTCTTGTTATGAGGTATTCAGAAAAGAAGTGTTTTTAATGAATTAAAAGATTATAGTGGGAAGGGATAGAAACATTTGTATTTGCACTTGATAATGCTTTCTATTATCAGTCATGCTGCGACCTTTGAAAAACCTGTCAGATACCTGTAGTTCCCACAAAGGCCCTAAAAAGCTAAGGGAAAAGTTGTGGTCAGTGATATTTTTTCACTGTTCCAAGTCATCTAAAGATTAAGCTGCTATGGAATCAGTGTCCAATTGAAAATATGGCATACACCCGTGGTTTCCTTTAGTTTGTCCTTCCTTCTTGTCACGGGAGCATCATGACCTTGTCTTGATCAAGAGCTGAGTAACGGAGTGTAGTGAGCCCTGGCAAACAGGACGATGCGAAGAGGAACAGAGTGTGATGAGCCTTGGTGTGGATCAACAAATAACAGCAGAGTAACACCTGAAACTGCTGGAAGGTATGCCCACAGTATCATCGAGGGCTGGTTCGATTGTAGGCTTGTACTGACACAAGGTTATAAATCCAACCTGTAGCAGGGATCGGAGGGGAGGTGGTATAAAAAGTAGGGAGGGAACCATCACAGGTTGGTGCCCATCTGCAACCCAGATAGATGAAAATCTAACAAAAAACCCTGTGTTTATGAAGTGCTTAAGGCACTGGACAAGTAAACGCAGTGGGAACTCCGATGGAAAGAAGGGAGCAAACCGCCTGAATGTTTTGTCATAGGCCTGAAGTGTTTTCTGAAATAGAAATGTTAAGTGAAAACCACCAAAGATTTCATTAAGAATGAATCAAAATCTTACCAAAGTGTTACGCACTAGTAAAATAAGTTTCAGAATGGACAGATGACATGATGATTAATAAGTGTAACTCCTATTAACATAATTCTATAATATTTCTATTATAAACATAAAATTTTATATCCAAGTTTTTGGAAATACAAATTTGTCTTAGAAGATAATATATAAAGAAACCTAATGCAAAAAAGTAAAGCGTGCCTGTTTTACAGATCTATTCTATGGTGTTATCTATTGGAGTCTACCCATTCACACGTTACTCTGTTTCTTCACATCTATTACTGATGAATCATTAAGCTATAAATATCACAGGCAGTTTTTATTAGACAATTACATTTTATTAAGCTTAATTGTATGAGAACTAACTTCATAGAGACTTTATAAAGAGAAAAATCAATATGGTTTTAGGTGTTGGTCCAGTGGGAATAGCAGCTGTTCGTCAAATTTTTTATGTATCTCTTTTTTTTGAACTTGAGTTTCAGTACATTTTTTGGGGAAACAGAAAGAAGTGTTTCACATGGTAAAGAAGCGTTGAAATAATATATGTATGTCTGTATATATTCTGTTGAAGTGAAAGCTGCAAAGTAGATATATTGCAATGTTTTTTGCATACAGCTATTTCTGGATAACTTTCAATGGTGGAATTTGAGAGGACTCTATCTCTGTTATACAAATTTGTAATATTTTGGCAAGTGTTAGAGAAATGATTTTGGTTATATGTCCCTTTCATTTATTTTGCACTTCTTGTTCTTTAAAATCTACGCAATTTTTTTTTCCAGAGTTTCTCTTTAATGTTTCAGAAGTTGACATCATCCTGAAATTGCCAGTTCTCTTGCTTCCCAGCCTCCTGTGTCTATTCCTCATAAATTATTCACTACTTGTTTTACATTTTGTTACTCCAAATTTCCCTGAGGTAAATTGTGCTGAAAGCAGTATTTAGTTGTTAAGGAGTCAGAGACACAGCAGTGGACCCGAAGTACTTTATTTAGCCCTCTTAATTGTTTACCCAGGACTTGCCAGTTCTTTTGCGCTCTTCAGATACTTCTGGTGCTCATTTAGATTTCAGTTTGATATTTATTTTCTGCTGCTTCTAGATCTTCTTTTCCGCTCAGACTTTTGTCCTGTTTCTGTCTTTCTACAGTCCACATCTCTCCCATGGGGCCATACCTTCACACTTAGCAGATACAGCTGTATTTTTCTCTTCAGCTTGCCTGTCTTTTATCTTCATTTTCTTTTTTGCCTGATGATTGTATCACATTGAGAAATACAAATGAAGTGACATTATGGCTAAAGTCAAGATAACAGTTTTGGTTGGTTGGCCGATATATGACCCTAACACGCAATGCATTTTGGGGTTACTTTGTAATTGTATTTAAAATAGTAATTCAGTGCATCTGTACAATTCAAGAAAAATGCCTAATCTATTAGCAACAAAACCAAATCAGTTGTTCTCAATAGACTAGGGACCTCCAGTTAAGCACATCTTATGAGAACATGGATTTTTATCTGAAACAGCACTTATACATAATTAGGTTTTGTGAGTATTTTAAGCAAATGTTTGAAGTTTAATAAGGACACAGTTCAAGATACGGGGAATAATTTTTGTAAGTTATATAATCAGAAGTGAAAAAGACATTCTGAAAGTGTCAGTGGAACAGCATCATTGTTGTGCCAATACAAACAAAAGAAATAGCAAAGAATGATTTCAATTATTTTTTTTAATATGTTAAGGAGCCTAAAGAAATGAGTTGCAGCATGCATGGTTCTGTTTTGTGTAAGCACAGGATGATAGTATCTTGAGATAATCTCACGGTTCACGGTGGAGTGAACGCAGTTAAAGATGGTTTGATATCATAAAGACAAATTTAATGGTAAATTGTTCGTAGTAGTCCTTTCTGGCAGAAAATGGACCATACAATTTTTTCTGTCTATTCTGCTTATTGTTCTAATGCCACTATAAAGGAGTGAAGAGCAGGTACGAGGACAGACCTGTGAACAGAATTGCTGAGCAGGTAACTTCTGCATTATAAGGAGCTTAGATTTCACTTTCTTGACTTCATGCCAGATTGAGTAAAACAATTATAAAAAATTCAATTTGAAAAATGAATGAAAATTAATAAATATTCACCCTCAAAGCAAAAGATATGCAGACCCACTGTTCTCTGATTATAACTGAATACTCTCAGACGTTCCAGGTGAGCCAGGTTCGGAAGCAGATAGGATTCTGCTACTGGTGATATGCCTTCATCTCAGATGTCAAAGTGCATAAACAAAAATCTAAGTATTAAGCTAGTGCTATGACTTGCCTGTAAAACACAATAAGAAAACAAGTTGTTTACATTTGATGTTCTTCCAACCATGAGGTTGTCCTTACTCTTTATGTACTTATCATATTTAAATTCATAGCACCATGAAGGAGAAAAAGGAGACAGGAGACAGTAAAATGGAATGTGACAGCTTTGTTGCCAATAGTTTCCATAGTTCAGGGAAAAAAATTTTAAAAAAAGAAAATATAGGCTGAAAGTTAGGATTATTTTCTTTTATATATATTCTGAGTTTGAGAGGCTGTGGAAATGCCTCACAGACATGATGGCAGCAGGTCCAAGGCTTTGAGACAGTGAAACTTGAAGGGCAGAAACATTATGATACGTACAACAGAGAACAGAAAGGTCTCAGTGGGAAAAAATAGAATAGTCAATAAGCATTTTCTTCTTCAATTTCTAAATTTCTGTAAGAATGTCTGGAACAATTTTAATCAAATTGAGGGATTTTTCATTTCTCCAGTTAAAAAATAGTAGTATTTATTGTTTCTAATGATCTAGCTTGAATCATGTTAGCACCAGGGTATGTGAAAGAAGAAAGGAAGAATTATAATGCACAGACTGTTTTATTCGCCTCTGAGTAGAACTAAAGTAGAAGTTAGGATGCAACAGCAGTTTTAAATATGTGGAAATTGGAAAAATAATTTTAATATTTGGAAAAAAAAATGGGAAATTTATTGCTACAAGACAAACCTAAAGTAATCGTATTTTGTAATGGTAGGAGTTTAAATACCAAGGAAATATTTTTCATCCAAATTTTAATGTTTTATAGATCTGTTGCTACTAACCCATATATTTTGTCAATACCTTCTATCTCAAATCCATGAGGCAGATGGACTGGAAATGGAAGTGTAGATATGTCTTCTCTAAATTCTTAAGCAGTGTAAGGATTTTGAAAATCTGTAATGAAAGTTATGTTCAAAGGTGCTGCCTTTCTACCAAGTCCCTAGGCTTTGGCAGCGGACACTGCATGATGTGAGCGAGCCCATGTTGGCAGCCCTGGCTTGAGCGGGCAGCCTGCCGCTCTTTGTTGGGATCGCTACTCTGCCGTGACCTGGGTATTTGTGCAATTGCTACTGTACTGGCTGAATTCAGTTGTTATATTCAACAGCTTTGTCCTGTCTTGAGCCCTTCACAGAAAACATTAACCCTGATGATGCCTATCACTAGGCTTCCTCTGCAGTCAGTGGGAGTGCCAAATCTTGGTAGAGAGTGGTTCAGTCCCGAGTCACTGCATTCCCTGTCTCAAGGGGTTGTTCCTCTCATTCAGTTATCACAAAATATAAGGGGATTAGCCCACATCAGGCCAGAGCCAACTCTTGTGAATAAGCTGTGTAAATGGGACTCCCTTGCTGTTGAAGGAGAGTAGAGGCAGCCGGTCTGGGCTACCTCATTTGGGAATCTTTGTGGCATTCACTTCGATGAAGTGACTTTAGGTTGCCTTAGAGAAATCACAGCTGTTCTCTTATTGCAGTTTATGTTCCCAATACAACATCCAGGCCCTCCCAGGTCTCCGTAAGTGCAGCAGAACGCTAATTTTCACACTGCTCATTGATTTGGCTTTTCTCCCTGCCCTAATGAATACTCACAAGATCAGGACTTAATTTGTATTGTTCATAAACCAGATACATGCTTGGTCACCAGGCCATGGATTTAATGCCTCCATTTTCTTTTCTTGGTGTCTCTGGGCATTTCGGCAGGCTCAGGATTTAATTTCTCGTAACAAGAAGATTGTTAGGTGCTTGTGGTGCTGGGTAGCAACTGGTGAAGAATTTAGGGTCTTGGTAGTAAACGAAGGGTTAATTCAGCACCTCAGTCCCCTAACTACTTGTATCACCTTTATCCTGACTTCTTAAGATGCTAATTTGAAAAATTTACTCTCATATCTACTAGAAAAAGTCATGGCATAGTTTAGTAATGCAATAAATCTAACTTGGTAGTATTAGATTTTTGAATTAGAAGTGCCATGTGAAAAAAGTGGGTAGCTTATCATTAGGACAAGTCACGTTTATTTTAAAAAATATAATAGGGGAATTTAATTTGGGTAGCTAACCTTATACTTGTTGTTTGCCCTTCCAGAGCCAGTAGAAATGTCAAATGGTCTTTGGCAACTCTAGAGCATACTGCAAGCTGATCTCACTATGCACTTTTTTAGCATGATTATTGCATTCCAGCATGAATTTAAAAAGAATACTCCTGGGGCCTCTCTCTACCTGGAAATGCATTAAACTTAGGTTTATACATCTCTTTTGTGTGCATGTTTGTATATGTATACGTTGTATATGTGTGTGCATGGTTATGTATATAGAATCAAATGATCCAGGACTAATTTCTCATCT